GTGCTGGAGTAAACACTGGTTTAATTTCCTTATTGCAATAATCAGATCAATATTTCTTGTCGTCCTTCGTGGATGGCACCTTTAAGAGGGTTTCCCGGCAGTGTTAATTTCATTGTCCAATGGTTTTCATCAATTTTGTTCCCCAACAAAGCACGAGAACAAAAAATATGATAAAAAGCATTGACACTTCAGGTCAATAAAATATTGTGGAGAAATTAGATCCAATCAGAACTTTTTTGTGTGTGTAGACTGGCCAGGTGAGTTTGAATGTGATCCAGTTAGCAGTAATCTTCTTGTGTAGTAAGGTGAGACACAGAGTGCAGGATCATTAATAATGTTTTTTGCTGTTAACATATCCAGTCACTGATTGTTTAAAATATATTATGATAGTAAGATTAATATACTATTTCTCAGGTAGGCTGTGGCATTCAAACCATGCTTGAATGCTACTAAGGGGGCCAAAGTGTGCCATGAAACTTATCCCCACACCCGCCTGCACTGATAATACAAATGCTGGATGGATCCATGCTTCCATGTTGTTATATCTACTTCTGACCCTGCCATCTGAATATTGAAGCAGAAATCAAGAGCAGCAGCATTTTTCCAATTTTCTATTGTCCAGTTTTGGTGAACCTCTGAAAATTATAGCCTCAGCTTCCGATTCACCTGGTGTGGTGTTCTGCATTTATAGCCAATCTGCTTCAGGGCTTGAGATGCTCTTCTGCATACTTTGGTTGCACTGTAATTTCTGACGACCTCTGGTACCTTTGTCATACTCTGTATAAACACGCTTATCATACTCTCATTAATGTACAGACAGCTGTTTATAGAGAAGAGTACTCACTCTGGTAAGTTTTAGTATTTCTAAGCCGATGATATAAAAATTATATACTCACATCTACTTACCGAGTCAGTCAAGCTGAATCTAAAAACATCTGTATTGTGTATGAGTCTTCACTTCACGTCACATGTTTTTTCATGTGACGTACACATGGCTTATAATGTTTCTTCTCGCTAATGCATCTAATTAAACTCACTAGTCGAAGGGTAAGAGTGCAGTTTTATTGATAGTACAGACATAATGCAGTGCACACAGTATTTCTCTCTGCAGCTATGAAGTCTAATTCATATCTTGTGTAGAAAACATTCAGTGCACATCTCCCACAAAACATTAAACAGTAACAGCTAAGGGCTTTGTCCTTTCACATGACAAAGTCCCCGCGTGTTATTTTTCAGTGCAGTTTTTTGGCAGCAGGAGTTTATCACAGCCAGCAGCAGAGTCCTGCTTGTGTCTAAAACTGAAGCACAGTGCAGTTTACAAGAAGAGTAAAACAATAGGTTCAAACAACAAGATCAACCCTTGGTTTCTGCAGATAACAGTGAAGAGATAAGCAGCATTAAACTGTCACAGAAGCATGTGATTTTGCTTTCGTTTCCTGTTGAGGAAGGTGTTAGCTAGTGTTGCTATACGACAAGGCAGCAAAGCTAAAGGCTAAAGACTTGAAGGCACGTTGCATTCACTGAGAAGAATAATGTCAGGTCAAAACAGCGCTGAGTCAATGTTCGGCTTCTCGAGACTTCAAATAACCAGTGTATATGGCACTCTAAGCAGGATTGTCTCAGTAAAATTTCACCCTTTCAAGACTTGTTAACATCAGCAGAACTTCAATATATAAAGGTATTTCAAAACTCTAAAACAAAAGTTACAAACTTAAAAAAGCTGAAGAAATATTCTGCTATTTCTGCTTAATTGACAATAATGCCCACCTCTAAACAGAGATCTGATGCATTAAGACACAACGCACAGGAACTTTGCATGTTGTTTCGCATTATGGTCTTTTTTTAAACGCACAAATGTTCACCTGCAGATGACATTCATCCATCCATTATTACTGTAGGACCTGCAGAACTACTAAAGTTTTTAAGCTTTTAATTCAAACAATTCTAAACTATACTGTTTGGATCATTTTTATTAGCTATAATAACAACAACAATAATAATCATCATCATTATCATTATCATTATTATTATTATAAACTTGCATATGAACCAAGAATATCTGCAATATAAACATCTGGAAGAACCTCGGGCCAGTGAGAAGTAACCTGAAATACTTCCCCATAACTAACTTGAAACCATCAGACACTTTAAACATCCCACAGTCAGGCAGATTTGGTGTATTTGGTGTTCCAGCTGTGTCTTCTGGAAATGTTTTAGAATAAAAATGTAAAGTGTGTGTGTGTGTTGTTTTTTTTTTTAATAAATTTGAAATTTATTAGCCTGATCCTTCTTTTCTCTCACAAACTAAAATTATAATAAAGATTTTTTTTAGTGCATTAAAGTTAGGAAGTCAACGGTGGAGGACTAAAACTGTCAAAATTTAAACAAATTATTGTTTTAAAAATGACCTAATAAATAAATATGGCATTACACGCATTGCAACTAATACACTCCATGTAGGATTTTTATTCTTTTTTTTTTTTGGTTTCATTTAATGCTCGTTAATTACCTGTACAACCAATCTATTTACTTTCCTATTTTTTCCATTAAATTTGTTTATTTTTTTTCCCTCAAACCTTTTTATTTTACATTTCAGTTTCATGATGAAAAAAAAAACCAGCGTGGCCACCAAGGTGTGGCTTTTAGTATTTGTTCAATATATGCTGGGAAACTTTCTTTAAGATCATCCTCGTGGTTGATCAACACCAGGATGCTTTGTGTCCAAGAAGTTAATTAATCCTTCTGAAAATAGCACTGCCATTTAATACATAAATAAATACATTTAAAAATGAGTAAACTGATTTTAAAAAAGCAAAATAAATGGTAAATAATAAAGTGAAAGTTACACAAAAGGTGCATAAGTACATAAAAAATGTATAACAATTGAAAATTTTGTAATATTCAAAATATATTTATTATGCATTTCATCCACAAGCTTTTAAAAGAAAATAATGCTTATATTTATTTATAATTTTAATTTGCTACATTTAATGCCATATTCATTCATTTTCTGATGTTAACTTTTGTCTTTCTCTGGCAGCTTTGGTCCTCCACACTTTGGCTAATTAAGACAGAAACTATGGAATTCATAGTTCAAAACTTAATTCCCTACATTCAAAAAGGGAGATTAAATGCTATGCAGAAACTCAACATACTGTGAGTACTTGGAAATTAATTATAATCATAAAGCACTTGATTTCATTTTAAATGTATCTGCAGCATAAATCAAATGCACTTTAGTAAGCCTTACCCTCAGAGGTTTTTGAATTTGGTTTTCGTGAGACTTTTTCCCTTTTTAGTTGAATCAAATCGCTGATTAAAAAAAAAATACCAAAAAAGAGAAAAATGCAGCATTTAAAGGTGAACATTGTTTTTTACGTTAGCGTATTTCAAACAAACAAACAGAACACACACACAAAAAAACACCTACTCTCAGAAACTGTGATATATGCTGATGTAGTGAAGCTTGGAGGTAAATCCTCTCTGACCTGGCAGGACGACAGGTTACCAAAAGTGTTCACGTTAAATGAGCTGCTTGTGAGTCGATGTGACTTTTATTTACGAGGCCTGCTCGACCTGTAACCAGCTGGTGTGAACCTAAAATGAACTAAAAGGGTCCAAGTCAACTTTTCCACTGTGGAGCAAACCAAACTAAGCCAGGATGTGGTTGCACCCAAAGAAAAGAAGATAATAAATATAAGCAAAAATGAGACTTTACATAAAATTTTTCAAATCATGACTCTGTTCTTCTTTATCGTTCACCGATGTTCGGCTTTGCTCGCTAAAGCTTGAGCGGTTTAAGGATCAACAACACAATGTGTCCTTGTGTGTCCATATCAGCCCACATCATCTATCTAAAACATGCTGTGTAATAATACGGCTCAAAAGCAAATCCCTGACTTAACCTGCTGCACCCTGAGGAGGAGGGGGATTAGGTTGGATAGAGAAGGAGGAGGGGGAAAACGGAGGAAGATGAGGGAAAAGAAGGAGAAGAACTGATAGTTAAGGAGAGGAGCTCGAAAATTTGTTTTTAACAGTATTCAGTAAGTGCTGGGAAATCCCACACAACCTGAAGGCATCGTGTGTGACCTGCTGTAATAAAAATATAATCAAAGAAAAAAAACCACCGAGCCTGGATATTATGTTTCACTTCTAACAACTTAACTCTGATCTGAACATTTTAAAAATAAAAGCCTGATTGCACTTGAAAGCAGCAGGGCAACAACATTAAAAGGTGATTCAAAGAGAATGATAGCTGAAAACTCCCGCCACGCTTTAACCTCAGATTGAATTTTTTGGAGTAATAAAGTTTGACATGAGTCAGTAAACTGACTGCCTGACCTGACTATGCCTCTCGCAGGGAAGCAGCGGGCGGTAAAAAGATCAAACACCATCAAAATCACGATCTTTAATTCTGTTTCTGCCATTTCGGAGCGCGGCCTCACTCAGCAGCGAGCTTTTCTTCTCCTCCTCCCCTGCATGAGGGCAGCAGAGAGAGCGCGAGGCGGGAAAACAGATGAAAGCGGTGACTGAGGGATGACAGCGATGCAGACGGCACACGCTGAGTTCTGATGGTAACTTTGGAAACGCTTTCAGCACAGAAGTACAGAAGTGAATCTAGCTGTAAAGGCACAAAATGCACACATATCAAACATAAGCGCACATACAGCCACTGCTAATCAGGTGTGACTATATCAAAGGACATCTGGATCTGACAATTTGGCTGACTTCATCCCTCATGACTCCAGGAAGACAACAGAAAAAGTCTCAAAAAGAAGAAGAAAGGGCTAATAAAATCCGTGCTTGTTTCACTCTCAGAACAGTGGTATGGTTTCTCATTGTCTCTATTTGTTTACGTCTGTAGTAGATTCCTTCAAATGCTTCAAAGTTGTTTCCTTGGCTGGTCCAAATGGTCCCACCATCTTCATGGCAACATAGTTCTGTGAGAGGAAAAACACAAAATAATGCAGGAAGTTCCTTTCTTTTTGTTGCTAATGCTTTCTCTTCTTCATTTTCTCCCCCTCAACTGTCATTTAAAGAGTCAAAATTTAGGCATTTGTTTTTTTACATTTTCTTATTTTTTACACTGATTTTGTAATTTCTTAATGTTCTTTTAGTTTTCAGCACACTTCTTTTGCCTTGTCTTTGCCTCCGTGTCTCATTTTCCCAGTGTTATTCCGTGTACGGCTTCAGTCACACAGACCTAGAGACTGGTTAGTGGCACCCCGGCAACTTCTAGTCCCTCAGGAAAAACTGTTATTTACTGACTGACTGGCAAGCGGTTGCTGGATGTTTGCATTCGACAACTAACCATGAAATTTAAGAAAGTGAGATACAAACCAAAATAAGTTGTGTCTTTTTGAATGCGCTGGCTTCAGTGGTAAGTCACAACCTTTCCTATGAAAGCGAATTTCAATTTCACTCCCGCTCAGTAAACATTTGGCAAACAGCTTTTGGAGACAAGTCTGTGTTTTCCATGCAAACCGGGGGCCTCGGCAATCTTAGAAGTAATTGCAAGGAAGGTTATGGTGCAGCTTGTTAAGCATTTCCAGCAACCACTTGCCAACCAGTTGGGGATTATGCATTTTTCCCTGGCAAGCGGTGATTACCACCATCTTCCTCAGTGGTTACCACCACTTATCAATGACCGATCTCTAGGCCTGCATTACTGTCGGTTCCTGTGATTGCTGGAGGCTGGTGCTGATTGCTTACTCATTTTTCAATAGCATCTAGAGGTTGGCAGATGGTTGGCAACCAGTTTCTAAACCTGTGTGACTGGAGCCACCTCCTCTCTTTCTCTGCTGCAATGAAGCTCCCTGAATCTGCTTTGTCACAGTCTCTTTCTTTCACACACACACACACACTCACACACACACACACTAAAACTTGCCGGGAAGGAGTAGAGGAAGACTCCAAGGAAGAGGATAATGAAGAAGAGGAAAATGAAGAGAATGATGAACCACTTGAACCGTCTCCACAGGATGTATTTTAGGGTCTTGTAAGGGGAGGAGAACCACAGGAAGGATGTCTCTGGACGCCTGAGAGAAGAAAAGATGAGGATGAGAAACTATATTTGTGTGTGTGGTTTTTAGTGTGTGTGTGTGTGTGTAGACTCACTGAGGCTCCTCCAGGTGAGGGTTCATGTTGGGTTCATCTCTGCCGAGGCCGGCTGGTCTCTCCTCTTGCTCCTGCTCTGTCACTATCTCCAGCGACATCTCCACCTTCCCCTGAAATGGAGGCAGCAAACACACAGTTTGCCTCATCCTTTCTTCAGAGAACACAGTAGGCACGACTGGCAGGTGGGTAAAACAGTAATTGCTCAGAGGCTGAATGATGTTTACTTTACTTTCTCTTTATGGGAATTAAGGGATTTTAAACTTCATGAACTTCATCACTTCATTCATCCAAAGTAAAATACTCAGTGCCGGTGTTTGATAAATAACTGTATGGCATATGAATTACAAATATTTCAAGATTTTATTGCATTTGGCATGGACTTGGTTTGCTTTGATCTATCATTAAAATTTGTTTCATGAGCCTGAAGCGTGTTAAGTGTGACAAATATGCAAAAAACAAAAAGGGCAGTGGGCTTATATGTTTTCGCACCCTGTTGAAAATAGTTGTGTGTGTGTGTTTGTGCTCTCACAGCGATGATCTTCTCTCCATTGTTCTCGCAGGTGCAAGGCCACCAGCCTTTGACGGTCTTCTGTTCAAACAGAGACACCAGTTTGTCCGGTGGCTGGTCGAGCACCTGAAGGGTACACTTCTCTGGAGACTTTGCTGGACGCAACATGTGGTTCAGGTCCATCACCAGGTGACCTAAAGAAACAAGCACACTACAGTTAGACAGAGACTCATATACATAATAAATTAATAATGATGATAACAACACCTGCTGAATATACTGATGTCTGATATTTTCCTTTTTTTTCCCTACATTAAAACGTCTAAACTATCCAGCCCCAGGATTATCAATTGATTTTGTAGCATTCATGTCGCATATTGATTATGTTGCGGGACGCTCGGACGCGTTGCTATGACGACAGCCACACACATAATGGAAAAGGGGCTTTGTTAGAATGTGAAAAAATCCAGCCACCAAGCAGATTAAACTAAACAACAATGACACAACAGCCACCAGGAAGAAAACTCATTACCCACGATCCACCTCACAAAGAGATGAAAAGTGTTTGGTTTGTAAGTATTTTTCCTGCTCTCACACATACATTTGCTGCTTAATTTCATACTCTTTGAGAACAGGTCAATTCAAAAATTCACACTAGGAAACTTTTTTATGAATTAAAACGTCACAATGGCACATATAGTTACTCAGGCCCAAAAAGGTTTACTTAGCTATTCAGTTTAAGACGATGGTGCACAGATAGTTAGCATTAGCTTTACACTTGTGAATATAAAAAATGACTTCATTGTTCCACCTTGATGGATCAGAATAATAATAGCTGGGGAAACATGCAGTGTAAACTCTCAATAGGTCACCTTTTCATGCAACAACATTAACCAATAATATCCTCTTGTTTCTCTTCATGTTTGGTTTGTTTCCCTTGCAGCTCTTTCCTAATGACATTGTACTAGTTATGAAAATGTCAAGCTATGATTGGCTCAAGGTTTAACATCTCATGAGACGATGTAAAGACCTAATCACACAAACAATGGAGGAAAAAAAAACAACTTTCTGCCAGGTGAACATCCATAAATCTGCCAGGAAGTCAAACTGTGTCAACCACGACAATTCCCGGGAGTTTTCTGTTAGCCGATAAACTGCACTTTTTGTGCAGTGAAATATTTTACAGCCTGAACTCTGTATTTGTTAAAGCAGGGTTGGAGGAGATGGATATTTTGGGGCAAGCAAGGCTTAGATCTCTAAAACTCAGCAGATTCAGCTGTCTGTTTAGCCAGTTTTTCTGAATGACTAATTATCGAGCGTGCGCTGAGTGAATTATTGGCGACCCTGTGGTGAAGGGTAGCTAGTAAAAGGTTTGATCTTTGTTGACATTAAGTTGTGGGCTGAAGAGAGACCAGAGATCCACTGGAAGTGTTTTTCCAGAGTTAGCTTCAGTTTGACAGTACAACCGCAGGAAAATGGCTCGTGTCTGACCCGCACACCGTGCAGGAAGATTAACAGTCGGCGGTCCGAGCCGACGAGCTGAAGACAGGCAGGCATGGAAAAAATGCTTTGAGGTGGCCACACACCCGCAGACTCTATGAGGTGAATAAAGTCGAGCGGGAGAAAACGCTGCAGCAGAGCGAGACGGTGACAGACAGGAACAGGTCAGAATCTGGATTCCTCATCTTCCTCCTTGTCTCTCACCGCAGAGGGACGCTCCGTCCGCAGACTGTCATCCTCCCTTCTTTGGCAAAAATAAAGAAAAGAAGCTGAACCCATGCATGGAGAGCGAAAGGGGAGAATCTCGGTGGTAAGTTATTTTAAGGGAATGGGCTGGGGCAGTGTTAGGGGTGAAGGAAAAGCAGAATTTGGACAGCTTGAGACTCGGGGAAAAAAAAAATAAAAGCAGAAAAAGCAGCCCCTCCCTTGCTGTAAAATGTGCAGACGCAGTGGAAACAGGCGAGTGCTAATTCTAAAGATAAATGTTATCACAGTAGCTGTTCGTACATCGCACATATGGTTCCCTGGATATATTTACCTCTAAACCTTGAGCCAGAAATGAGGGGAAATCTGTCTAAATGTCATACACAAATGAGTTAAGTGCATTTCAACCATCCAAAGTCGAGCGCATGTGTTTCTGACCTGGAGAATACGGATCCATTTACACGTTTTACAGTAAATCAACGAACAGAAGAAATGGCTTTTATTCCGACTTTGATCTCACTGAAGTTTTGTGAAGGAAATCCAATTATGTTTTTACCACACATCATGGGTCTAAAATCTCTGGGAGCAACCAGCTGTGACAGCAGGATGAGATAAATCATGATTTTTTTTAAAGACCTCACCTCATTTATCACAGTAAACACAATGTGGCACGCCAGAAAAACAAACACAGACAGTCAAAGTGATGGTTTTTACCTAGGTAGTCGTCAAAGGAGAACTTGTCGTTGTCCCAGATCTGAATGGTCAGTTTAGGAGCCAGTTTAGTCTCGGCTTTATCCAGACTCCAGAAATGTTCCTGCAGACAAACAGAAGGCAGAAAATGGGAAACAGCTGCAATTTCATAACACCGGGTTCCTTCTTTCAATGATAGATCCTCAAAACATGAATTCTGATTCATTTTGTTTATTCTTGTACAGAGGTACAGGGTCAACACTTGGGTTATAGAAGCCCTGAAAGAAGATCTGCCTTTTTATTTATGTCCATTAAAGACTGAAACAACCGCTTGGTGCTTGGAAAACATGCCAGCTGACAAGGCTGTTTTCAGAGAAAGAAGGAAACGTTGAAAGAAAGAAAGGAACTCAAACAATACATGGAAAAATTACAGAAAAAAAAATATTTTAAAAAATCATCTATAAATGGGTTATATGGAGATATGGAGCTAATACATTGTGATATTAAATGGAAATTATGAAAAGATCTAAGAATACATTTGTTTACCTAAATATCATAAACCTATTTTTCCTCAGCTGTGTCCATTCCAGGCTGAGAAAAATATACATAATGCTGGAGGTACCAGCAGGTTTATCACATGGAGTTTGGGAGGGTTGTCACCACTCATGGCTGCACTGACTACATCACTGGTGGGGATTCAGAGCTCCACTTTGTAATTGCTGTGTGAATCCAGTCCACTAGAGGTGAAAGGAATCAGTGAGTGTGACTGACTTTTATGCGTGTAGGGAAGATCTAATCCAAATCTGCGCTTTATTTTTTTCACAATAGCTATCAAAAGTTTTTACAGTAGCTATCGGTGTAGCATCCACACATTTCCAGCAAGTTATGTGCAACACCATTGTTTTGTATACCTGACATTTTGTAGCTTACATAATGCAATTTTAAGATTTAGCATTGAGGGCACAAAAAGAAAACCATGCACCTTTAATATAATATTTGTTTTCTAGCACGAGCTAACCATGCTAATGCGTTGATGCCGTGTAGGCCCACGCGCGGGGTAAGCTCGTTAACGGAGATTTGCCGCGTTAATGCAGTTATGGTGTTAACGTTATTTTAACAAGAGTAACGCTGACAGCACTAAAATATCTTTCTATCTATCTATCTATCTATCTATCTATCCCGATGAACTCTCTTTCAGGTCCATTCCTCTCACACTCAACCCTTCTTCTTCCATCGAACTTGGGGCTTGGTACCTAATCTCGGGTGGGGGTGATGATATCTCCCCCCTGACCCGTCATCCTGGCTCCCCTTTCTGTAGAATTTGTGTTTGGTATTGAAGATTTCATAGGTCCTTCATCCTATTCATGTAGCCCCTTCCGCTGGGGTTACACATGTACTAACATTCCCACAGCGAGGTGTTCTCATAACTTGCCCACTTGTGTCTTCTTGTTCCAGTAGGCCAACTCTCATCAGTGTGTCCTGGTATCCGTGTAGTCTTACCACTACCACCACTATCCAGCTACTCAGCAGCTGTATATCTATTTTAAAGGAGCGATGGAATAAATCTTTTGGTCAGTGTTACTGATTTTAATGTTGCTCTTAATGACCTATTGCATATGATTCACATGTGCTCACTGGTTTGTACTGAATATTTGGGTTTCTACTTGTTATGCGATTTGTTGTAACTTTTGCTGCCCTATTGACCAGGTCTCTCTTGGAAATTAGATTTCAAATCCCAATGAGACTTTTCACCTGTATCAATAAAGGATAATAATAATAGAAGGTGATTTACCTTTAAAAGTCTGCTTCATTCTTCTCTAAATGTTCTCAAATTGTGCTGAATGATGTTGCAGCCACTCCATCAACACAGGTCTCACTGCATCTCCACTTCCATACTGGAAATCTGTGTGTGTGCGTGGTGTGTGTTACAGTATAGCTATTATGGCCTCTGGTAAATTCACGCCACACTGGCAGACAGAAACTGATCCCGTCTCACCTTTGTGCTAATGGGCTTCACTGTGCAGCTGCTGCACATCAAGTTCCTCTCTTTCTCTTTCCATTTGCTCAGTCGTCCTTTTTATCTGCGTGTGAGACTTTGTTATGCTGACATAAATTACGGCTTTTCACAGCTGAATTAAAATTACCCCCCTCTGTGATTTGCAGAATACAACAGCATGTTGCTGTTACTTAATATAGCAAGGAGATTTTCCACAAACAAAAAGTTGCACTTGGCAACCTTTGAATGCAAATATTAATTTTCTCCCTCTGACTCTTTCGTGTCTGTTACTGTGGAGCAATGATCCCAGGATCTGTTCATTCCTTTTCATGCTGGTGTTGCGGTGCCATCATGGTGGCACCATGGAGGCAGGACATTCCCCCCACTCAGTACGATCAGGTCGAGGGGGAAGCAGGTTTTAGTCTGAGACCCTCGTTCAGGGGTTGAATATTGTTTTAAATGACCTGAAGGCATGAAATGCTGACCCACTGACTGGATAACAGAGTTGATGACATTTGTGGACTGGTAGTTCCTCATGTGGACACTAGAGGCTGGCTCCCAAAGTGAGTCCATATCCAGAAACTGTTGTTTTAAAACATTGAACTAAAAACCCCAAACAAAAACAAAACATATTTGCAGTGTGCTACAGAAAAAACACAAATACATTTGGATAGTTTGTTCCTTCATGTTATGTTAGGTGAACATTTTTATAGCTTAGAGCAGACATTTGAATTTAGCTTTTGTCACCCGCAGGTAAGAAGAAGAAATTACACATATGTTTTCTGTGTGCGGCACTGTATACTTCCTCGCCTCTTTTTGGACGTAGCTGTCACTGGGTGGCAAATTCTCCTAGCGACAGAGAGGAAACCTCCAACAACCATTCACCAAGTGGTTGTGTGATACATACAGCGGAACCCCGACTTATGAAATTAATTCATTCCCAAGGGTCTTTCGCAAGTCGAAAACTTTCGCGAGTCGAAGCACCGATCGCGCCTTTTGAGTGAGGCGATGCTGAACGATAGGCTATAGGCTAATTGCTAACTAGAACAACAATACGTCGTTCAAGGGGAACAGCGAAGCGCAATTACGAAAGCCAAGGGGTTGTCACATGATTCGGAAGGCATTGTGGGGCATTGTAGGCTTAGCCAATCAGAGCCAGCGGATTTCGTTACGCAAGCATTTTGCCATAACACGGGCAGAAATATTGCTGTTCAGTACCTTCATAACTTGAATTTTTCATTAAATGGGGTATTTGTAAGTCGGGGTTCCACTGTATTTTTTCTTAGCATCTGGAGGGACAACTCGGAGGCCAGTTAGTTGAATAGAACAACAGACCTTTATTTACTGTTAGCGGAACAAGACCACAGAAGCCAGGTCTCCACGGCTCTACTCTGTCCGTACATACACGTGCCAGGGTTAGGTAGTCGCCAGCGCCAGCCTGTTACAGTAAACACACTACACCCTCTGTGTGTGCGTGTGTTGCTCCTAAAGCTTTGTAAGCTCCTTGGCTCACTTCATCCACAAACTCCATCCAAGTTATCACTTCACAGCTGTCACAAGTCAGGGTGGGACGTCTATATGTGTGTGTGTGGGTGTGTGTGGGTGTGTGTGTGTCAAACTGCTGTCTGCAGTATCTAGCAGCAGCAATCAGCAGCCATCAGCTTGTCTTTTAGTGCAGAAACTCGTTTTGTCTTCTCTCCAACTTCCTTGACTCATCGTCCTCTGTAGATTCTATTTGAATTGATGATGGAGCTGAACTACATACAGCATAAATAAATTCAGCTAGTGTGCCTTTGTTCTTTGGGCATTGTCACGTTTCAGTAACAAAACAAGTATACTTACAGTGGCAAAATTTCACAGGTGTGTAAATGTCTTAAACACTGTCAAAGAGTTTGATATGGAAAATCTGTGCAAACAAGGCATGCACGGGAAATCAATTTCAAAATTATAGTTAATTAAAGAATTTGAAACACCTAAAACAAAAGCACTGGAGCAATGTTATTGGTCAGTCGTGCTTCAAAGGGCGGTAATATTTTCAAACTGCTGGTGTGCCTACAGGGTGTAGCTCAAGAGTCTCCAGTGGAGCCAATCAAAAAGAGTCAATGTGCTTTCTCTTTCTGCTCCCTGTCAGTACTCTCTCTTCAGGATTTTGGATTAGCTGATGGTTTTTCAGTATTTTAACCTGAACGAACTAGTTTTTCAGCATCACTCTGAGTCAGTAAGTTTCTAATTTTAGAGATGTTGCACAAATGCACATATTTGTTGCAGACATTGAAAGACATATCCTCGTTAACAATCCCAACATCCTTCACAGCCTTACTGCAGGCCAAGGTAACGCCACTGATTGTGAAGAAAAATGGAGAATATTCCAGTTTGGATAAATTTGTTTGCTTTCACCGGCGAGCAATGCTGTCTTAATAATATACTTGATCTGCTGCTAGGAAAATATTTTAATGACCTCTGTTAGTGATATTAATGGGCCTGTGATGCTTAATAACGCCTCTTATAATGCCTCGTCTCTTGTTTGCACCGAGGAATTCAAATGATCGATTTAACACTGGTATTGGATCAGTTCTCCATACTGGGAGATACCTGTATCAGATTTAAGCTGGAAAAACTCAGATCAATGCATCCTTGCCTGATGTACTCATGGGAATCCAGCTCCCTTACAAGACTACCCAGAAATCTGATTCAGTTTGTGTGGATGAAAGGTTTTCAGTACAACAACATTTCATCACTCATCCAAATGGACGAGTGATGAAATGTTTCTCCCGCTGAAAGTGTGGTGTTCAGACAAACTGAATCAAATCTCTCGGATTTCTTTACCTGGATTATTGAGCATTGAGGCTACATTTCGTCCGCTGTCCTCCCATTATGCAAATGATCGGTGAGGCACCAAAGGTTTTGGCAATCCAAAGTGTTAAAATTCAGGGAAATCTCCCCAAAATGACTAATCTTTTTTTAGTTTTTTAATTAATTTGCCTAGAAATCACATTCCCAGTTACCACACAGAATTGTGCATTGACAGCTCCGTCACTACTTGACTTTCAGTCCTTTGGTTTATGTGCGAGTCAATCGGAGTGGGTTGGAGTTCTGGTCAGAAACAATGAGAACACTTCAGATATCACACTGCGCTGTGAGGGAACACGAAAGGTATATTTAAACATTTTAATCATTAAACTGAATGATAGATCGACATTTCAATTGAAGGCTGAATTTTAAGGATGAAGTCAGAAAAACAGACGTCATGGTGACATGGTTGAACTAATCAAGCTGGAAAAGACAACAAGTGTGACTTTTCCTTCCACACACCCCATCCGACCATCACACAGCAAGACTGCAGAGTGTTGATAGCGCCGCTGATTTGTTCCTGTGACTCAGTGATTATATCACCAACCGCTGAGGTTTCTGGCTTCATAAACTCCGTTTCTGGCTGCAGCTCTGTTTTCGAGCTGAGGCTCTCTCCGCCCAGCGGAGTTTTTCATTTAAAACTCCCTCTCGTCTGTTCAGCCGCTCGCTGATTGAAGATGCTGCTGCAAGCGAGAGAACGCCGTCGTAAAACATGTCGGCCGCGAGCAGCTAAAGAGCCTCCGGCCATGCCAAGAAAAGCAAATGACAGCCGGGTTGTTATTCCAGTTTTCGGGAGTGATGTTATTTTAGCTCTTCACTCAGTGTTATTGTTGAGTCTCAGAGATTCAACAACATTTAACTCACAACTCTTTCTTGTTAAATTGTCACATCATTATTTTTGTTAACTGAAGGCCACAGTAGATTCGTTAGCGGACTCTGGAGGGACGACCTCGCCTCAGAAATTCCCCCTGACCGAACTTTGTGCACTGGCTCATGTTTGGGTGTGATGGTTTTGCCACATGTCTCCAGCTCATAGAAACTAACTGGTGATAAGATTCAACTAATTTTGAGGATGTTTTTTGGTCTGGGCAAGGGGCTTGTAGCGAGGTTTTTTTTCATTATAACTGAACAAGTTTACAGTTCCTGTTTGCAGGAACTGAATGTTATCAATACATAGGCTGGAGTATGCGTGTAAGGAGGTGGGGGTTTCTTCATCCGGATATTTTCAGGTCAGACAATAAATTTTCTGCATATTTGCAAACTTTTATGAATCATTTTGTAAATTTTCTGCATCACTTTATGACAAAGTAAGGTATATTACAACCAGTGTTGGTCAAGTTACTTGAAAAAAGTAATC